TGACAAATTGATGTCTTTTAAAACAATCCAAAGAGTAGCATTTTATGTAAGAATAACCCTTAAGTCAATTTAATTAATTGATGTGTGTGTTAAGATCAGCCAATGAGTTCACTGCCTTTCATCTAAACAGAAGAAAGAGGTTGGAACAGCTTTGCAGAATCTGATATGAAGGCTGCTTTGAGCACACAAAGTGCTGCTCAAACTTTTAATGGCGGTTTAAGGAAAACATTGAGATAATGCTTTGGAACTTTGCAGCTTTGTCTTGTAATGAAAGGGCTGGGGAGGAGGCTCAGTTTGCAAAGCGCTTGCTGCATGAGCATGACTAGCTGAGTTGGATTCCTAGAATCCACATAAAAGCCAGGTGTGGCATCATGTGTCTCTAATGCATATGTACTGAAGAGGCAGATCTTTGGAGCTCACTGGCTAGCTAGTCTGGTTAAATTCATGAGCTCCATGTTCAAGAGAGACTGTCTCAGAAGACAAGGTAGAGAGAACTTGGGGAAGGTACCCATGTGGTCTTCATATTCATTCATACACACATACACATGTACACATACTAACCCACACACATGCACACACACATATGGAGTTATGGTCCAGACTGCTGTGGCCTACTGAGCATTCAGCAAATGACGTCACAGTGAAAGTTACTGTAGATCCCCATTGTGACTGGTATTGACTTTGTAAGAAAGTCATCTTACACTGTTAAATGTACTAAAGTGAGGCGCCTCTGAGAGCATTCAGAGATAACCCCTGCTGAACCAGAGAATGGGATGACACAGGGATGATGCACAGTTAGGGCCTCTTGCATCCAGACTGTGCTACTCCCAAGGCAAGAACTGTGGCTCCTTCTGAGGTTTCCCTCCACTAGAGAGGTACTGCTGTCTGCTGAGGAGCATTCTCTGAATATACAGTTGAGGAACTTCCTTCCCCCAAGAAGGCTTTCTTCCTAGTTTTAGGATGTGTATTTACACAGACTTATTCTTTCTACCCCAGCGTACCATGTATGCATACCACAAGACACATACAATTTACAGGCATTGGTTCTCTCCCTCCACCTGGTGTTTTCTGGGATTGAACTCAAATCCTCAGGATTGGTGGCAAGCACCCTTTCCTACTGACCCATCACACTGGCCCTTTAGGCTAATTAATGTGCAAGGTACGTTGAGAAGAACTCTCAATAGGAGCTGGGCAGCAATGGGCTTGCCCATCATTTCTGTTAACTGAGGTTTTTTTCTGCATGCTTTATTTCAGGACTGAGTAAAAGGAAACAATAAAATATTCCAGTCTCTATTTTGTTTTATCCGTAAAAATCAAAATAGTATTATCTGCACCATAACATCTGTTTCCTGTTAGGAACATTCTGAACTAAGAGAGAGATATATATAGAGAGGCAGAGACAGAGACAGAGAGATAGACAGACAGAGAGACAAGAGATAGAGACAAGAGACAGAGACAGAGATACAGAGAGGAAAAGACAGAGATGGATCTCCAAATTTACTTTCTTTGCTTTTTGTTATTTCTATGGTTTATATGATTCCCAGACTTTGGTCAGGACATTTGAGAGAGTAGTCCAAATGAAACTAATCACATTCACAAAGTCTTCCAGGCAGTTTGCTGTAAAAAGCTCAGTAGCCAGAGACAGCCAAGAAGGAGGTTCGCTGGGCATTTGCAGACTGAGCACTGAAGCGTGCTGCCGAGATCAGCTTGAGCGTGGACTTGGGGTCCTGTGTGCCAGGGTGGGCAGGCCCGCTATATCTTTCCTCTGATGTCGTTCTCCGTTCTGGACCAGAGTGACTCCAACACTCATGCCAGCCCTGGCAACTGGGCTCAGTGGGCAGCTGCTGCCAATGTGGATAATTTTTTTCCTAATTTTAATTTTTAAAAACTTCAGATTTAAAGTCAGAAGCAATGTCAATAGCAGGACAAAGTCTTCATTTTGTCTGTGAAGATTCTGTTCCTTCGTCATCACGATAGCGCAGTCATTTGTGACCTCTTCTGCTCTGAAAGTATTAAGGAGTGAGACATTAAGTGAAAATTAATCTTGGAATAAATGCATTTAATCCTTTTAAATACTTGGAATATTGGCTGTCACCTTAGCTTTTGCGTGTGTTTGTGCATGTGGGTGCACGTGTGTGTGTGTGTGTGTAGGCCAAAGATTGGTGTTGGGTGTCTTCCTTTATCACACTTCACTTTATTTTTTAAAAGGTTTCTTTTTATTATTTTTATGTACATGTGTATGTGTGTATGCATCTATGTAAGTGAATGCCATATGTGTGACAGTGTTCTCAAAGGCCACGAGAGAGTCAGATGCCCTGGTGCTGAAATCACAGGCAGCTGTCACTGCCCCACATAGATGCTGAGAACTAAGGTCTTCCCTGGAGTTGCAGGTGCAGCTCTACAGCGCTGAGCTATCTTCCCAGCTCCTTGCCTTGACTCTCTTTGGGCTTTAGGAAAGTGCATTCTGATGTGGTTCCCAGCCAGTCCGCTCCTGGGACCCACCTACCCAGCACTGTGCCTACTTTCTCATCAAATTCAAGTGCTTATGTTTGCATGGCAAGCGCCTTGCCTATTGAGACATCCCCCGGGCCTCCCATCCTTTGTTTGAGGTTAGACAGGATGTGTTCAGGCTGTGATAGCTATAGACCTCACCCTCAGTCTGAATCCTCCTATCAGTGGCTGGGAATGGTGGAGTCCAGCTTTAATCTCAGTGCTTGAGAAGTGGTTCAAGCCAGCCTACATAGTGAGACTCAATCAAAAACAAATACATAAAATAGGTATCCACCAGGTTAAGATACTGGCAGGCCTGAGGGAGACAAACATTTTACAAGTTGAAATTTACGGTGAAAAAAATTCACCAGTAATAATAATAGTAATAATTTTTAAACCTTGCTCCCAAGGCCAGCTCAGCTTAGTGGGTGAAGGTGTTGCCACCAAATCTGAAGGCCTGAGTTGGATCCCCAGAACCCATGTGGTAGAAGGAGAGAACCAACTCCTGCAAGCTGTCCTTCTGCCTCCACATACATGCCATGACAAACATCCCTCCCCCCACTAAATAAATAACTAATAAATAAATAAATGGTAGAACATGTCATCTGTTTCCTGGCAGTATTTCCTTAGCCTCTCTCTCAAGTCAAACCGATCTCCATGTCACATCTGCTGCTTACCTGCTGCTCTTCTCTCGCACCAGAACTCCTTGCAAATGTTTCTTCTGACCTTCGTTCACTCTTCCACAGCATTCAGATTTATTTTCTATATGGAAACCTGATCTCACTTCTCTCCATAAATCCACACGAAGGGTCACTGGAATCCATATATTGTTCTAAAAAGTCCGCTGTGGTTGCTACATGCTAGGAACTTGCTCATAGCCAACCCCCCTTGCTCATAGCCAACACTATGTATAGTGTTTTGCCATCTTCTTGGAAGCACAGTGCACACCCAAGCATGACCAGCATCATCTGCTGCTTTGTTGATTAATTGTACACCTATCAGCTATAGATAATCAAGTATAGATATCATTCCTTATATGAATCACATTCTGAATTTTCTTTAAATAAGATAGTGATTTTGAAGTTATGATCCTACTGCTTCTACCTCCTGAGTGCTGGGATTATAAATACCTATCATTGTACCCAGTTTCATGATGTTGGGGATTAGACCTAAGGTTCATGTATGCTCTACCTGCTGAGCTCCAGCCCCAGCCATTGCAGAGTTAATTTCTCTTAGGCTTGCAATGGCATGTATACCCTTTAGTTACAAAATTACCATAATGATGATAGAATTGTTAATGAAAATAATAACAATAGTTTTTGATGACTCTCTTAAACTCTAGAACCTTCTACAGACTATTGTAGCTAGAGTTTTCCTGCCTTGCCCACAGTCAGGACAAATCATTGTCACCCGCCATTCCCACAGCCGCTCAGACCCAACCAAGTAAACACAGAGACTTATATTGCTTACAAACTGTATGACTGTGGCAGGGTTCTTGCTAACTGTTCTTATAGCTTAAATTAATCCATTTCTATAAATCTGTACCTTGCCACGTGGCTAGTGGCTTACCGGCATCTTCACATGCGGCTTGTCATGGTGGCAGCTGGCAGTGTCTCCTTCTGCCTTCCTGTTCTTTCTTTTCTCCTCCCTGTTAGTCCCGCCTATACTTCCTGCCTAGCCATGGGCCAATCAGTGTTTTATTTATTGACCAATCAGAGCAACACATTTGCCATACAGAACATCCCACAGCAGACTATTCTAGCAACATCATAATAATTCTATTGTGAAAATTGTCTCCATTTTATAGTTCGCTGTTTTAGGCTTGGTTAAATTATTTAACTTCTGCCAAGATCATTCAGGAAACAACCATAGGGAGCACAATCCCCAGACCCCCCCCCCAAAGCCCTGAGATTACAGTCACCTGTCGTGGTCATAGGTCTACTCTATTGAGGGAGGCCAGCTGAGAGACAACTCCCACATTTTACCCCAGGGTACTCTTGAGGAGAGGGGCATAAGAGATTTAGACAGAAAGCTAGAGCGGAGAGAAACAGAAACACAACATAGCCTCGAAAGGACCTAGATCCTTATCCACTGGCCCCTCTGTCTCTGCTAAGGGCCTATTTATAGGATTGCCAAGGGGTAGAGCAAAAGACCTCCCCCTAGCTCAATGAAGTGCAAACCCTTTCTAATCACCTAGAAACCATGCACATGGTCAAGCAATCCTCTAATACAGCTTTGCTGGGTAAAGCAAGCTCGGCTCTCACTAGGAACCTTTGTGGGCCTCCACACCCTATTTCATTTTTTAGGACTACATTGTGTGGTATGAAAGAGATTTACCATAGATGTCTAATTAAACTAAAATTGAGTGAAATCAAATTTGCATTTTGAGATAGGTACATTGCATTGGTAAATTGTCATGCGGTGTTTGCACTTGTTGATAGCAGACTCCAGGAGAGACCTACTGTCCTAGACTCAAGCAATTATATCTCATGCATCCTCCACAGCTGCCTGACCAGTGAGATTGGCTCCTATCCTGTCACAGGAAAAAGCAGAAGGCGGACAGCTAAGGTGTGAAAAACACAGCACCCTGAGAGCCGCTGAAAGGTAAGCCATTTCCAACAAGGCTCGCCATTGGTTAGTCCTTGGCCTAAAAATGCGGGGCTGCAAAGATGGCTCAGCACTTAAATGTTCTGCCTGCTCCTCCAGAGAATTCAGGGTCAGTGCCCAGCACCCACAACAGGTGGCTCACAAGAGCCTGTCATTCCTGCCCCTGGGGACCTGATACCTTCTTCTGACCTCCTTGGGCACCAGATATTCATATGTCACATATACAAAGATGCAGGCAAAACATGTCCTCTGTCCTTTGTTCTTTTACTTGGAAGCATCACCTGAAGGGACATGCTCTGCCCAAATTCCCTCTTTGAGGAACTCCGCTGGCTTCCTCAGTGGGGCTCCCTGTCATTTCTGCAAGATGTGTTAAGCACCTGGCTTGCTGATGTTAGCTCTCTGCTGCTCGCTACTTCCTCTTTCACTTTGCTCCCTTAGCTCAACTGGGCTCCTCTAGTCATTTCTGCTGGATGTTGCAAGGATCCAGTTTGATGATATTTTGCTATTTATTTACTACTTTTTATCTGTTTAAAAAAATTGCTTGCTGCATGCCTAATGAACTCACTCATTAGAAACTGAAAGCACAGCTATCATAGATCATTTTTCATATAGAACAGTTCATCAGCTACATTGATGTATAGACCATACATCAGGGACTAGATAGTGTTAGCAGGTCACTCTGCTCACATCATCAGAGAAGGAACCATTGGGCAGTTTTATCTTCAAAAGAGAGCCTAGTGAGGGCAGAGATTGTGACCTCATACTGGAATACCCTATATTTATGACTTTGACTCAATGGTGGTATCTATGGGGATCCAGAACCTCACCACACTGGCTTAGTTTTCTTTTACATTGATTGTAATTTAAATGTGGTTTCTACTTATCAGATGATCAACTTGCTGTTAGACCTATCAGCCCACCAGAATAAACTACTTTGGTACAATAGCTCCTCCCAGGATGGATGTCCTTCACCTTCACCCTCAGGGCACAGGGAAGAGTATTCCTGAATTCTAGAAAGCACATCTTCAGTCCCTCCCTGGGTGCAACACAGTACAACATCCTGGGTGCAACCTCCATACAAAGGCCTTGACTTTTTGACCTCTTGGAACGTAGATTCCAAAGTGCAATCGCCAAGTCTGTAGTAGCCATCAAATGGCTTGGGAAAGAGATTTTTCCGTGTTGAACACTTCACTAATCATTATCTCCCGGCCATTCTGTTAGTCTGGTTTAGTGTCTTTCTGCCAGCTGTAACTCAAGCAATACTGTTCCCACCAGCAAGGACTGTGGTGAAGTTAAATCTAAAACAAGAACATGTATATTAAGTACTGGACAGTTATGGAAAATGAGCTCAGTTTTGTGGCTAATGAGAAGTGTCACTGATTTTTCAATCATTTTTTAAGGTTTTATTTTTATGCACATGTATGTACCTATCTGGGTGAGTGGGTGCCAAATGGTTGCAGGTGTCCTCAGAGGCCAGAAGAAGGCATCTGCTACCCAGGAGCTATAGTTGCACGTGGCTGTGAACCACCTGGCATGGATGGTAGGAACAAAACCCCTTTCTTCTCAAAGAGCAGGAAGCTCACAAAATCTTCATCTCCTCAGACCCTAGGAAGTTTTATTCTTAAAAACCAGTGGCTCACCATGTAGCATTGAATTCACTGTACAGAGCAGGTTCGACTTGAACTCACAAAGATCAGCCTGTTTTCTGAGCACTGGGATTAAAGGCTTGGGCCACTATTCCTTGCCAGATTATTGGTTGCTTTAACCCATGTTCTATCCTTCATAGCCTTTGATCTTTTCAACGTCCTGATGAAGTCTGTATTATTCTCCCTTCTTTCTAGACAAGGGAGAGGCTCAGAGCAATTATGGGCATCATTCAAGGTCTTGGTGAGAGAATGGCAAAGTCTGTTTTCTCCCTTAGGTCTCATGAGCCTCAGGACCCAAACCCTCACAGTTCCTCCTCTGTACATCAACTCCCCTTTAAAAGAACAGCTCAAAACCCAGAGCAGTCCTGCGGCCCAGGGGCATCAGCAGATAGCAGCTTGGCTTGTGTGGAAAGTGCCAAGCTAGCTGGAGCTTCTGTGAGGCACATCCTTCCGCTAACGGCAGAATCCACTGGGGAGGCTTAAACTGCAGGCCTTCCGGAGACAGGCTGAAAGCCATTAACGGAGAACATTCCACTCTGTGCTACCCGAGACATTTAGATGAACACTTTGGAAAGGAACCAAGAAAGTAAATATAAGGGGGAGTCATTTTCTCTAGGCGACTGGGATCAGGTAATGAGAAAAAGCAAAGTGCAGTCATCTTTCCACTTCCGGATCCTTTCTGTGTTCCTGTGGCAGCCTTAAAATGGCTCGGCATTGACAGCTGGATAAAGGATTTGCCATTCCAGACGCCGGAATTCACAGTGCAGCCCCTCCCCCACACAAGTAAAATAGAAATTATACATGTATGTAACACATTCTGACCTCAGCCCTTTACTCTCTTCCCCTGCCTTCTCTTGTCAACCTCCCCACATCACACACACACACACACACACACCACATACACACCACACACACACCTGACACACACACAACACACACCCCAAACATATGTACACACACACACACACACACACACACACACGTCTTCTTCCCACTCTCCTGCTCTCATATCTTTTGTTTTGTGTTTGCCTTTGCTTTTAGCGTGTGTGTGTGTGTGTGTGTGTGTGTGTGTGTGTGTGTGTGTGTGTGATGGAGTTTAACCGGGCTGTCTGTGGGCACATGGCTGCGAGGCTGTGTAATGGAGCGTGGGGGATTCACCAGTGGCTGCATCCCTGAGGCAAATACCACAATCCCCTCACTTGATATCCTCTTCTGTGGATCTAAGTTTGTCCTCCAGAAATACAGCTGTTCATATAGAATTCAGGAAGTCAAGCCTTATTACAAAGTACTTACAAATAGTATTTCTTTCTTTCTGAAAGGCAAACTTGGTGTGGGGAGATTGCCCAGCCTGAGGACCTGAGTTTGAATCCCTGGAGCTCATGTAAAAAGCCAGGCATGGAGATGGCCGACAGCAGCCCTAGTGTTAGGAGTGAGCAGAGACAACTGGTCAGCTGGTATAGCCCATCTGTGAGCACTGAGTCCATTGATGACCCTGGTCAAAAGATAGTAGAGAGCCACAGAGGAAGGCAACAGAGATTGTACAACAGGCTTCACACATACACCTGTGCATCCACAGAGGCATGTGTACAAATACACTACCCATGTGCATGTGTACATACAATTTTAGTAAAGGCAGAATTACACAGGGAAAAATTTAACATGTAGCAAACGCTTTGAGAAAGATAAAATTACATACATACCTTCACATGTGGCTCTTACCTGGAAGCATGGCTACTCATTTCCATAAGAAATAAATTTGTGGTTGATGTTGATGAAGGCTGCTGTGTATTTTATTACTAATAAATGACACAAGAGGCCTTATTACAAAATATTTCTAAACATACAAAATTCTATAATGGGCCCCACAGGGGCTGGGCCCACAAACTGCGTACTCTGTCTGATGTATACGCATGGCCACATGTTCCCACGGTAACTAAGGCAGCAATTGCTGGCATGCAGAAATCCCAAAGCCTGCTGACTTGATTTTTAGTGTGAACATTTCATCAGCATTAAGCTTGCTTCTGCTTCCTAACGAACGCCGCACGCCCATGCCTGCTCCACCAGATGTCTACAGTTTATCATGCAAATATTACCTAGAAGCGATTATCATTATTAAGGAACACAATCACCCCAAGTCAGGAGGGATATCCTTCAATGCCAGTTTGTGCTCCATTCCTTATGTTCCAGGGTGAAAAGAGAAAAGAAGGGAGGAAGAAAGCCCTGTCTGTGAGAAGATGAATGCCTTAACGAAGAATATAGCTCACGGCCTGCCAAGGAGCTGTTGGTATGAGATTTCTTTGTATTTTGACAACACTTTTTCTGTCCAAGAACAGAGTGTACAAGGCCAGTGGTTGCCAGGCTGGGCCACTGGTTATTCTTCATCTGTTGGCTTCTGAGTCCATCTTCCAGGGTGATGCCAACCTGCCTTTGGGTTCTGAGTTGTAGATGGGAGGAGAACCAAGCAGCATTCATCTGGACCTACCCTCCCTGCTCTTTTGTTTGGCACTAGGTCCCTGGCTGTCTAACCTCCTCCTGCCCTTTTGTTTCTCAGAAGCCTCAGATGTGGGGCTAGTGAGTCGCTCCGGGCTTGCAGGCACAGTTTGCTTGGCCCACATTGTGTTTATACAATAAAAAGAATTAGCTGTCTCAGAAATCAGAAGGTTTCATATACAAACCCAGATTTTCAACAAGAAAGAACAAAGAAGGGAAGGAGAGAGGGAGGGAAGAAATAAAAAGGAAGTAAGGGAGGGGGGACTCTTGGCACCTTTGGCCAGCCTTCCCCTTTGCTCCCGACAGACAGGCTGAATGGGCACATTTCCACTTTCCCCAAACCAAGCGAGCAGAATCCTCTCACTAGCTCGCTGCTCCCCCTTAGATGCTGTGCCAGGCTCATATCACATGTTCGCACATTTGGGTCCTTGTTTAAATCCCTGATATACAATAATTCCCTTTCTCCCCTGGGGCAAACAGACCTCTTCTTTGAGCCCCTCGACAGTTTCTGACTGGATGGGAATCTTACACGTCTCCCTCTTTCCTTCCATTCCTGCCTTACGTCCTTCCCCCTCTTAAGTAATTACTGCACATTTCCTGTGTTCGAACAGCTGTAAGAGATGTGAGGAAGGTCACACAGTTCCTCGTCTCTGTGATATGGTTGAGGTAGTTGGAGCATAGTTATAGACTAAGCAATGGTTAGTAGAACCAAGCATTCTACAGCTCACCAGTTACCGGTGTATCACAGCCCTGCGTCCCTGGACCTCTGAAAATATTTGTCTCGTAACTGACCACTTGGCCAAAGGCACAACTCCTACCATATCTTCAGAGACAAATGAACATTTCCTTCTCTGTGTTCACAGGAGTTTTGTATCTCTGATGTAGCATCAACCAATGAGAACCCTTCTGACTGCATGAAGACTCTTCATTTTGTACCCCAGTGTCTGGGTACCAAGCAGGGGTGCCTAGAAGGTTTGTAATGATTTGGGGCAGAATCTGGAGAATGTTTCAGTGGATTTTAAAAAAATATATGATAGAGAAGAAAGGAGAAAGAGAAAGAGAAAGGGAAGAGAACAAGGAGGAGGGGAACTGGAGGAGACACCAGTTCAATTAAATTCATTAAAATAATCTTCTAAGAACAACGACATAAAGACAAAGATAGAAGGCATTGAACACTGAGAAAAATAGTACAATTCAAGGTTTCTATATGTTTGGTAAACATAACTAGGCCATCTTTTTTTCCCCAAAACTTTTATACTTTAAAACTTTATTGGACACTTCAAAAGTTTCAAAATCAGTACAAAGAATTCCCAAGGGCCCTCCATGCCCCACCCCCCCAATGAATGCATCTTAATTTTAGACACAACTTGGTAGTGGTGACCACTGGTGATCACAGACAGGAACTCATCCACATGTGACTTTTTTGAACTTTATCTACCTTCCTCATTAATGTCGCTTTTCTTTTTCAGGCTCTGATTTAGCTCCTAAGCTACTTATTGGTTTTCATCATCAGAAGCCTCTGACCAACCTTGGTCTTTTGTGTTTACATGCTTTTGTCAAAGTAGTTTGACAAAAATCTATTTCCATTAGGATTAACCTGTTATTTCATCATGCTTAGATGGTGTGTTTGCATTTGGAGTGCAGGTGTATGTGTGTGCAAGCATGTGTGTGTATGTGCATTTGTGTGCCAGTGTAAACCAGAGGACAAACACACATGTTGTTCTTCAAGTGTCTTCTACTTTGGTTTTTGAGATAGCCAGGCTGCCCAGGATTTTCCAGAGTTCTGCCTGCCTCTGCTTCCCTAGCACTGAGATTCCAAGCACCTGCCACAACACCTGACTTTTCACATGGTCCCTGGGCTCACACTCAGGTCTTCACACTTGCAAGCCAAGAACCTTATTTACTGAATTGTCTCCCCAGCTTCCTCCCTTTTCTTTTTCCTTTTTTATTTATTTTTTATTTTGAGGACAGGGTCTTTCTACTTCACTATGTAGCCCAGACTGGCCCAGAATTCTCAAACCTTCGGCCTTAGCCTCCTAAGTGTTGGGCTGTCATTATGCATGGTCCTCTAATCCTGGCACCTATCAATGGGTCCTACTTACAGTTCTACTTGTGTGTTTACATAATGTTGGCCATTGTCTATACATATGGACAGTCAGGCACAAGGCATTCACTTCTCACAAGGAGGTTTCACATCCTCTACAACAGTCCATTCTGAGTCTAGGTTTGGTCCTATTATGCTTCAGCTCAGCCAGCCTTATATCACCAAAGAACAGCCTCCCTCCAACTTGACAAGCTCTCCACCTGGCCTCAGTTCTTCCTGGGTTACACTCCAGGCCACATATTAGGGACAGCATAGCAGGAAGAAGGTGGAGAAATTTACCACATGTCTTGACATAGATATGTGTCTTCTATTTGACCAACAAAATATAAATGACTCTATATTTTAAATGTATACAAATGGTTCAATTAGAACAAACTCTCTGCTTGTCACTTTGAGTCTATGACCACTGACACCCTCTTTGTATAATTCAAGATGGTGGTCACATTTAGAAAGGTTTTGTTCACAGTGGATCATGTTCAGAGTTTTCAAAATGTATTTTAGAAATCTTCTTACCCTATTGCCCAAGCACCCCTGTTTCTGAAGCACATGCAGATTCCAAACAGAGGCCTGGATCTGAGGACCAGAGCCTTTTATCCAAAGACAGTTTCATTGCACCAGATTCAACTCTGTCATATTTTTGCAGCTCATAACTTTGGCCAGGTATATAGAAAATGAATTGAATTACCTCAGCCACGTTCTTACCTGGAAATGTTTCACACCATATGGTATCAGTTCTTGCTGTGAGCTTTCCCCTCTGTCTCCAAGTCTGGAGAATCTTAAATATTATCTTCATATCTTCTAGACTAAAATACTAATCCAGACAACCCTTTGGCACCAATCAGAATCCTAGTGCAACTGACTTTGAGTTTGTTTAATTTGTGCATCACTCGTCACTCCCTGCCTGTGCTCCCAGGAAATACATGTAGAATAGTCTAATGGTAAAGTAAATTGATTTGCTAGACATCAACACTCAGAACGTCACTCAAAGAATCAGACACCAGGGGACTTAGGGAGGGCCCATCCAGTGAAGTAATCACTACTCTACACAGACACAAGGACCTGCCTGCCATCCCCAGCAGCCATGCAAAGGCCAGATATGGCCTTGTGACCTCAGCTCTTGGGAGGCAGAATCAGAAAGGTCTCCAGGCTTGTTGGGCTGGCTGAATCAGTCAAGTCCAGGTTCAGTGAGAGACCCTGCCCACAGCTAGGAGTTGGAGAGCAATTGAAATTATCCCATGTTGACCTCTGGCCTCCACATGGACATGTACCCACACACACATGCACCTCCCCACACACATGTGCACATACACAGGCACAAAGACAGAATGGTATATTTGGGGTATGGCCCAGTGGGTGGGAATGAAATGGGAATTCTGAAGCCACATGACTGGATATTAGGTCCCAGTTTTGTCACATGACAGCTGTATAACCAGGGACAAATTAGTAAGTACTTACAATGGGTAGATTTTTTTTAAATTAACTTGACACACATTAGTGTTACCTGGGAAGAACAAACCCCAGTTGAGGAATTGCCTCCATTAGATTAGACTATGGGGACTTTCTTGATGAATGGTCGATGTGGGAGGGCCCATTCCACTGTGGGTGATGCTACCCTTGTACAGATGGTCCAAGGATGTGTAACAAAGCTGAGCCAGCCATGGAGAGCAAACTGTAAAGCAGCACTCCTCCACGGCCTCTGCTTCAGCTCCTGCCTTGGCTTCCCATGACTGGAACGTATAAGCCAAATATACACGTTCCGCCCCAACTTGATTTTGGTCATTGTGTTTATCACAGCAGAAAAGACGGGAAAAAAAAAGTCTAACACTCTATGACTCAATTTCTGATCTTTGAAAGAGGGCTAATCCTGGTGCCCACTTTATGATAAGGGAGCAAATGCCTAGAATGTACATAAAACCATCAGAGGGACCTCAGTAAATATTTGGTGGTGTTGATTTCTTCTCAAAAAGCAGCAACTCATCAGGGAAAAGAAACAAGATGGGTTGACAGGCAGACAATGCACTGACTGAGCTGAGAAAGAAAGCCTTTGTTTTACTTTATTCTTTTCGGAGTTGCAGGAAGAACAGAAAGATCCAGCACACACTTCCATCTCAGACCAAGCTGCCATCTCTTGTTTTCATCTTTCATGTTGAGAGAGTCTATGTCTCCAAAGACAATTGTGAAGGGATTGTGTTTGACTGATCAATCAAAGGCAGCCCCCTTGCTCGTCTTCAGAGACTGTGAATTAAAACCTCCAGGCAGGATGCTGGCAACGGGGTGGGCAGTCCTCGGTGTTGAGTAGGCTTTGATGGCAAGGGAGCAGCAGAGATAAAAGGGCTCCTCCCAGCAGAGTGAAATTAAAACGGGAAACATTTCATTAGACCAAGTCCCAGGAAGGAGCCCTGGGCAGCCAGAGGAAGCAGCAGTGGGGGCAAATGCCAGGAGGAGCTAGCTCCATCGGAGGGAGGGAGCTGACATCCACTTGCAAGTCAGTCCTTCTGTCCACCCCTGCTGGGGTTATCATCATCCCTGCCACTGGCTTCCTTTGCTTTAGGAACACAGCAAGTGTCAGCTTCCAGAGTTGGGCATTCCTAGCCTTACCTACCTGGCTTCAGTTCTCTTCCCTGCCTCTATTTCTCCTTGTTTCATATGCAGATTCCCCAACTGCTGGTGTATTCATGACCTCAACCCCATTGTCATCTAACAGGCCTTCCAGCAGTCCTGCTTAGACTGTCTTTCTCGTCACCTGTCTGTCAAGGTTCTAGATATCCTTCAAAATCCAGAGGCAATATAAAGAGGTTGTTTATAAAACAACCTCTTGCTCCTATCAGCCAGACCTTTCTTGGATCTGTCTTTAGGGGGCTAGCTTTTCCTTTTCCGTTCCGTGGATATTAGGATATAAAAGAGACAGTTTACTATCTGTCCCCCATCCACAGTGTATTTGTAAACAGGACAAAAGCAGGTCATCTGTCTTATTTCATACCAGATGGAATCAGAGAATGCTGGAGTTGAAAATAACCAGGTTTCTATTAGTTCGGAGATTGCAAGCTTACAGTCCATGGAGTATACCCTCCCCATCTGTGCCATGACAGGTGCCACAACTTACCCAGTGCATCAGCTCAACCTGGCTTCTGATAATCAACAACACAGTGTCCTGAGGATCTTCTTTAACATCACCAGATTTGGAGTTTGGGGAGCATGGGGCACACACAAACAGTCCGCAACACAAAGTGGTACAATGACCACAATGAGCCATGGAAATCAAGTAGTAGCTTGTCTTATGATCTGGGACAATGTAAAACTGATCACAAGAAGGGCAGGAGAAAGACTTCAAGTGGTATGAGCATTGGCTGTTCTTCCTGAGGACTTGATGTAAATTTCTAGCATTGATATTGTGACAGAAACATCTGTAATTCCAGTTGCAGGAGATCTAGCTTCCTCCTCTGGCTTCTGTGGATGGGCAAAAGGCACACATGTGGTGCACAGATATATATGCAAACAACCATAGACATAAAATTTTTTAAAAATGTAAAAAAAGATCTTAAGACCTTAGACATTAGACATGAGGTTGGTGGCTATTCATTTATATTGGCTACAAACTCAAAGAAAGGCACATAGACACAAAATAAATAAAATAAACTAGGACTTAAAAAAAAAAAAGGAAAACCAAACCTATTTGATTGGGGACAGGAGATAAGACCTGCCCACCACCCCTGGGGGTAATGCTACACTACCTCCATTATAGAAGACAAAAACAAAACACAAAAACAAAACATTCCAACTCTGCCTGAGCAGCAGATCTGTCTCCAAAATTCCTTGGCTAGCACCATTGTGATGCACCAGGCTGCTTCCTCAAACAGTGCTGTAGACG